ACCCACCCAGGATTTAATCCAGAGGTCTGTGTGAATCAAACCTAGACTTAATCACTGTGATGCCCCCAGAGTCAGAATCTAAGGACAAGGGAAGGGCAGGGTAAGGGTGAGCAAGGGCAGACTTCTCAAGCTAGAACACTACCCCACACAGTAAGCTCTTACCAGTTACTTAGTAAGAGGATAAGTATGGTTGAAACTGCATAGAATGACACAGCATAGAGAGCTTCAGAGATGACAAACCTAAAACCAGAGCTTCGCAAAATCTCCAATCTGATGAAGCACTTATGATAATTCAGATAGGGAAAATCTTACAAGGGTCCTAACTACAAAGAAGGGGTGAATGGCAAGTATAATTCCATGAGGATGCTTACTGATCTTAGCAAACAAATGACTACTAGAACTCTGAAAGTGTAGAGGTTAAAGAATGCTCTTCAGTGCTTAGCAGACAAGCCAGTGGGTGCTGGCGGCTCCGCCCTGGGGCCAGAGTGGGTGCCCCCTGTGCCCCCCTGTGTACCCCTGTGCAGCCTGCTGCACCCTGACTGAGCATACCCAGATCTGCAGAGTATTAAAGGATGAGAAAGCCCCTAATTTTAGACTGTTTACCTTATTGAGAACATTGGAACTACCAGGTAACATTTTAGCTAGGTTGGTTTGAGGAAATATATACAAATAAAACTATTTCTTTTAAGGACAGTCAACAATTCAGATGGCTGATCCTCTACCAACTTTTAAAGGAGAAAGTTGAGAACAGGGGGACAAAATTTTCAAATTACCAATAATGAAGATGCCCCAGATATTCTGGGCTCTAAGAGCAACATCAGAATGACACACATGGCAGAATCCAGGGGCAAAACTCGTCTTAGCCATAAACTCAACGCCTGGGCAAAGACCGTTTGAGAACAGCACATGATGCCCGTGAGACAGGGCGGTTTAAAAGCAGCACATTCGCACTTTCAGATTGTTACAAGTACACCGAGACCTTAAGGCACATTAGTTTCTATATTTTGAAGCATTTTCCAGAGTGTCAGACAGATGAGAGAGAATCGTGGCCCAACCAAGCGTGCCTGCTTACTGCTGCTGGACACGTTCCCCTCACGCGTGTGACGGCCTGGACAGACAGACAGACAAGTGGGTAAACAACACAACTCTGCCTCTCCTCGCAGACAGTGGAGGTCTCACCTCGAAAGGTGGAGCTTTTGGAAGGATATGTTACCTTTTCTTCTCAAGAACTGCTGAATCCACACAGCTTCCAAACAAGAACTGCATTTCACGGGAAGAAAATGCTGTTCCCGTGATGGGTGTTGCTAAGGGGGCATTGAATATTTTAGCAGTAGCACTGACTACCTGTGTACATGTGCGTGTCGGTGTTTGGGGGGGGGGTTGTTTTGACAGGGGTGTGTGTAGGTGTCAGAAGAGTTTCTGTGACTGTATTTCTGTGTGCCTGGGAAGATATTCAGTGTTCCTTTTCAGAACGAAGGACTGAAAAATTCAACAGAGACCTAGTTATTAAGATCTGATTTGGGAACATTAACCATTTTCTTTTTCTGAAAAGTGGTCATATAAAGAAATAAAGGCATTTGAAGAGATAAAAATTCCCTTCACCACTGTCTGGAAATGCCTATCAGTCTCCTAACCTGCCCCACCTTTAATTCACATCTGAACTCCTTGCGTGGTGCAAGGCAGGTAAGGTGGGCTTCTGTTTCCAGTCGGGGGATTGGATTTGCACAATCCCAGGTCTGTACATCGTGCATAATTGTTCTGGGCAGTTGACACCGTAAAATGGAATGCAAGTCAGTTTAGAGAATTTAGTACTATTATTTTATTTTATTCACTCACACAAAACATACGGAACCCATTCTCTTTCTTGACAGATGGATTTAAGAGGAGACGTCTCAGCTCAGAACAATAATTGTGGCCACAGCAGAACTCTCTGCACTTTGTGGGGTTTAATGGACTTTTCTTTCCAGTACTCAAAAAGCAGCAACTGGCATTTGCTAGAGCCCTGAGTGAGGTGTGGAAAATCTGTCACGTTTCTCTCCCGCTTACCCCGACCACAATTATACGGTCTGTGTGCAGATTAGCTGCAGAGTCGTTCCTCCTCCAGGAGTGGCGAGATTTCCCCAAATGACAAACGGTACCTACTGTATCCTCAAGTGCCCGTCTGCCTGAGAAAGGCAGGGGCAAGGGGGAGGGTGTAGGGAGCTCAGGGAGAAATGCCTTCAAAAGAAGGCATAACAACGAGAAAAGTAGCTGTAACAGGGTGGTGACATGGCAGGAACAGAGAGCAGCATTGTAACGGGCAGAGTAATCCTGTGACACACTGCTGTCACTCACTGCCCAGCTCCCTGCCGCGCCAGCCAGACATCAAAGGCTGCCCCATACCATCTTACATGCTCTTTATCGGCTAATCAGTCCATTCTTCCCTAAATAAAGCCCTGTTAAATCCCCTGCTCACAGGGGTATAGTGGTCTTGGTGCCCATCTGCTATGAGGGTCAGCTGAGGCAGGAGGCGGCGGGTTTCTCTCTCCCTAGTGGCTTCTCAAGGTAAGGACAATGCTGTCTCCAAGTCCCCCTCCCAAGTGCCTCCGTGCTTTGCTTTCCAGGGTCTGGGTAGGCACTGAGGACATCCTGGTCTGCAGAGCTGCTATCTGGATTAACACTTGCTAATGAAATTTCTAGCTATAAAGGTAGATCATCTGCGACCAATAAAACATTGGGACTGCATTTATTTTGAGGGAGAGGAATAAACAAAGATGAGTTTCTTGACAGTCATCATTTGACAGGTCTATTCCTACCTGCTCTAAGTGTCAACATGCAGAGACAGTGACAGAAGTGTTCGGACTTCTCTGAGGCCACTCTCAGATGCTCACCAGGAAGCCTCATGCTTTCAACACACACTGAAAATCAAAGTTCACACATACAGAGACCCGCGACCACAAGTCCAAAGACAGGAGCCCCACTGCCTACTGGGCCTTGCACCCCAGGACCTAGACACAGCCGGGTGTGTCTGGAGGTGCAGTGGAGGTGTCCTTGCCCTCTGGGAGAAGACCCTGGCCCCACTAGAGGGTGAGCAGAGAAGGCTCTGGGCTGCATGAAGCTGTTCTGCACACTTGTACTTAATGCTGCCTGGAAGGCGGCAGAGCTGGACCTGCCCATTCCACCTGGCACTGTGGTACAGCAGCGTGGAGGACAGTTGATGTCTGCCTCCCAGGATTACTGGGGCACTGTCCTACATGAGGGTTACTTGTATCAGGAAAAAAAAAAATCAACCATCTTAAAAATTCTCAAACTGGAACTAAAATTAGGCGACACTGTATCCGTTACAGAGAACCCTGCAGGCGCCAGATCCTCAGATGGCCTAAGCTGGGAGGCCCTGAATTGTAACCCACTCCTTTCAGGCTGTCTTTCATCTGTAGAGCCTCGTATGGTTCAAAGGTATATTTACACATATCACCTAATTTTGATTCTTAAAACAATCTTGTAAAGTAACTAAAAATATGATTTTTTCCCCTTTTTTTAGGAGAAGGAGGATCTGAGACGTTAAGAAACGGTATGCTCTAAAACTCACATCGGAATGAAGCCGGGACTTAAATCCAAGTCCCCAACTCCAAGACCACGGTCCTTTCCCTACTGGGCAGTCCTCCTCCCTTTACCATGGCAAGCTAGACAGATTGGGCCCTGACAAGGCTGATGGAGTCAGGACCATCCTGGGTGGATGAGCAAGTCCCACCCTTGGGAATACACGGCATGGTGTGGTATCACCTCTGATTTTCTGAGTCAGGACAGCTATATTTGTAGTACTTGTAATTAATGTATAAAAAGAAGGATATACGATGCAAAGTCACTGCCACTTTCACAGGGCAAGCGAAAGAAAGTCTTTGTGCCCCCAAACATTTGTTCATCACATCCTGCCCACTCACAGCAATCCTGGCCATTTACCCCAAAGTGCCTTCCACGAGTAGCTCACGGGGTTTCAGGTGCTCCAGCTCCTGTGAGGGCTGGGCTCATACTATAGCACACCACCACTCTGAGGGCAGGAAGAAGTTTTCCAAATGCAGCATGCTGAGGGAAAGCATCTCTGCACGTGGAATGGACTCGTAACCCGCAGGGCAACACCATGCCCTGACTCTGCCCTCCCCAGGGCTCTAGACAGTTCTGGGAACTGCACTTTTGGGGAGAAGACGTCATTGATTTTGCCCTCTGAGTGCTCTGCACTGGAGGTGTGTCTCAGCACCATTAGCCCAGCACTAAGCTCTGGGCGATCTGGGCTTCAGTGGTGCCTCAAATCTGAGGCTCAGGCATGCACCCCTCCCACCTCAATGGGACAAGGTATGGCCCCAGGGTCAGTTACATGGAATACATAAGAAGTCTTCTTATGACTCTCAGATGCTTTCCAGGGAGGACCACAGCACAGGTGAAGCTCCGACTGTGGCAGGTCCCCCAAGTTACTCTACTGGTGGACTGTGAACCCCATAGGTTCTTTTTTTTTTTTTT